AACAGCTCATTTCATGGCAAACAGCAAGAAGCAGCGAAGAGCAAGATTTTGCCAGCAGTATCATTTCTTCCAAACGATGTACACTCTGCAAATTGTTGTCTGAAGTCACTAGGCGCCTTGTGTCCTTTCAAGGCGAAAGGTGGAGTAAAAATATTTTGAATGAATAATTAAATAAGTAGTATAAGGATAAGAATTTTCAAGCTCAAAAAATCTGAAGCAGAATAGAGCTTACATAGTAATCAAAACATTATGGTAATGTAGCTAGGTATATCATGTACCGAGATTAAGACAAAGAAGCCTTTACGCATGCAGGTCAAAGGCCAAAATGTAGATCAAGACTATTTTAGCTCCACTTTCTTTGAGAAAAGACTTGAGTCTACTGTGCATGCCTCTGTTATGTTTATGGGTTTCTACGAATAATATACACAGAACAGTAATCAACTGGCAGAGAAAACTTACCGATGATGCGCATATATTTGTCCACATGCTGGTGTTCGAAAAAACTTTATTTAAAAAATGATAGCTCTCAGAATCCCATAACCATTATAGCCAATTGGTATTCTCAGAGCTATAGCTCTAAACAGTGACTTTGTCAAGTTTTTGTGGACACAGAAATAGGTCACGTATTGCAGAAATACCCAAATCAATTGTTTAAGGTTTGGGTAATACTGAAGAACACCAAGAGATTCCTTTGTGCATTCCATGAGCACTCTTTTGGTCTATTGGTATTCTCAGAGCTATAGCTCAAAACAGTGACTTTGTCAAGTTTTTTGTGGACACAGAAATAGGTCACATATTGCAGAAATACCGAAATCAATTGTTTAAGAGATTGTGCATTCCATGAGCACTCTTTTGGTCTTGCTACAGTACGTCCTTTCCCAGCTATAGGGGTCTCTGCTAGTTACAGTGCCAGACATTGAGGACTTAGCTCATTATCCTAAATCACTCACCACACCTTGTTTTCTGTTCAATAAAGCAAGTCCTTTCCCAGCTATAGGGTTCTCTGCTAGTTACAGTGCCAGATATTAGGACTTAGCTCATTATCCTAAATCACTCGCCACACCTTGTTTTCTGTTCAATAAAGCAACTCTTTCTGATAGCTATGAACTATACAACCATGGTGAGCAGAATGTAGAATTTTTGGGTCTGAAGAAGGAGGACTGTGCACCCCTCCACCCCTCCTTCCAATGGCACCAGCGGGGGCGAGGTCCCTTGTCAATGACTGCATGGGTTGTAGCTCAACTTCTTGACTTATAACGGCTTTTATTAGTGTTACAGCATGACACCTCCCTGCCCCCCCCAACAATCTTGTAGGGCTGAGTTATGGTCTCTAGTCCAACTTGCCAATTTAGGGGCCCAGTTAATTTAACTGGAGTTCCCCAGAGTCAAGGTTCTGGAAAGCAGGAGGGAGAGAGAAGCTTCGCTTCAGGACGCTCCCCTTTTAGGGAGAGTTTGTAGAGATGGTGGAAGAAATCAGGCTCTGTGACCCATCTCTTCCTGTCCCCCCACCCACGGACCTATCTTTACTTGCCTCTTCAAGGCCATGGTGATGTCCAGGAGAGTGCTGTTGTCTGAGGATATGGCTGGAGTCTCTAGCATCTGACTCTTGTCCTGAGCAAACAAACAGGGTGAGAAGTGGCTGCCTCTTGCATTCTCCTCCTTTTTCTCTCTGGTGTTTTCCCACACATCATCGTCTTCATGAATGAACAAGAACCCTAAGATTCTCACTCCTACCCTTTTATTTTCCTTGACATCCCCCTTTCTAGCTGTTTTTTATCAGGGAACTGTCTCTTCTTCAGCTGTATGGATGCCAGCTTGATACCAAGGAAACTTGCCTTCCTTCTAGTTGTTCAATACTGTATTGGCCAGACAGCTCACTAGGGGTGTGGACCTACACCTTTTCACAAATGGTAGATACTCAAAAAGGAAGCAGTACATGTTTGTGTTGGAAACTGAAATATACTTCATACTGTGTTATTACTGATTTTATCTTAAAAGGAAAATTTTGAGTAAGTGGTCCCCCTTCCAGTTTCTAAAAAATAATGCTTTTGTGGAGCCTATTTAAGCATTCATGAGTTCATGAAGGGTGTATGAGAAAGGTGCAGCAAAAGTCAAGGTGGACACCTGGATGCAATATGGGAAAATATTAATGCCCAACATTTATTTCTCTATTTCTCATTTGAATGGAATTAGTGGAAATAGACATTGCTGGATAGAAATCAGCACTGGTTCCTAGGAATACTTGTTCATAAGACTGAGAAGACTTTTATCCCAATTTCCTTAGCTGAAAAAAAGAAAACTTAAGGCAACTAACAGCATCTCTTGAATTTTATATTACTGTACTATACTTTGTTAATTTTCCTGTCTATTTAGCTTGTTTTCCTTTCTCACCTTTCGTAAGTATTCTTTTAGTAATTTTGTTAAAAATTTGGATTAGAGATTTCAAATATGGATGTTAGTACAAATTCAATGAAAAGGTTTCTCTTCCTTCATTTACCTTAAACTACCCAGTCTTACTACTGCTTTGACTGAGATTATATCTAATGAGAAGTGGTGTAAAACAAGCTTTCTAACCATGCCGCCTAGAGTGGTCCTCACCGACCAGATAGGCGGGGTATAAATTAAATAAATAAATAAATGAATGCTGATGGGAGACCAGGTGAGAAGACTATTGTGTGGAAGCACTATCAGATTGTACAGAAGTATACCCACCTGCCTAGCTTTTAAAGCAAGAGATAGCATTTAAAATACTCCCTCACAGTTTCACTGCCTGCCCAAATCAGAGGTCATGGCAAACCATGGCTGGAGCAAATTCTAAAAGGAAAGAGAGAGTATGTGAACCTGTCATGCATTATTTATCCTCCACATTATCATTTAGAACAGGCTTGTCCAACCTGCGGCCCAGGTCGGCCCAGTGCAATTTTTTATTTTTAAAAAGATTCTAAAGTTTCAAGTTACACTGCCGGCACTGGCGGCCGGAATGCGGTTGGGGCACGTCAGAACAGTAGAGGGGAGAGAGGGAAGGAAGGAAGGAGCAGGAGGAGAGGGTAGAGGGGGGGCTGGGTGACTGCATTGCACCATCCTGTCAATAGGTGGACCCCCTCCCGGCCCCATAAAGCCGCCAGAGTCGAAGCTGGCAGAATCTGCTGTCTGAGATCGCAGCTGCCGATAAGCGCGCTTGGAGCGGGGCAGTGGAGGATGGCTAGGGCTGCCCCCCCATGTGGCCCAAACCAAATTGATGTGCGCCCCAAACCAAATTTTCATCTTCTAATGTGGCCCAGGGAAGGTGAAAGGTGTTGTTGCCCATCTTGCCATGATCAAACAGGAATGCCATAGAGATTAAATTTAAATTCTTCATTACAGATTATATTCAACATAACTCCAATATTCTGGTAGCATTATTTTATACAATTTCAGGTTCTGTCACTCTAGATGGTGATTCCTTCTCTCCCACTGGCAAGATCATTTCGAAACTTCCTAATACTGTCTGTTTACATGAACACTACTGGGAAACAGACCGTTGCTAGGTAACCAGATATTTTCTCTGTATGACTTCAAAGCAGCACTCAAAGGGAGAGAGAAAGTTCCCCAGTAAGTAGTTCTAGACCACTGCCATACTTTTTACTTTTTAGTTCTGCCATCCTGTATGCCCCTTTTAGAGATGGGCACATCTCCTCCAGGTGCTGCTGCTGAATAGGCAACTGCTGGAGGGAATGGGTACTGAACCGCAGATCGGCTGTTTGACCAGGAAACAAATTGTGCCCAGCGGCTAAACCAGTGATTTGTGCCCATCTCTAGCCCCTTCCTGGCCACAATACTCACAAGAATACTTTCTTAACAACTTCACTCTACCTCTTTCTAACTTTTGTAATTCTCAAGCTCCCTTGATTTCCTTGATTGTCCACACTTCACTCAGACTTTTTTCTCATTGCATCCAATTCTTCTAAGCCAAATTACAAATCTCTCAATTCCCTTCATGGTAGGTGGGGGATAAAGGAGGTTGTAAGCCCCCACATTTGGGAGGTACAACGTTCCCCACCATTATTCTTCACTTTTTACTTATCTGTTTCTCTCATTTCCTTATCTTGTTCTCATTTAGACCAATTGCCCCCCCCGTTGTTGCCCATCTTGCCATTGGTTAATAGTACACAGACAGTTAAACTATAGAGTTGTCATTTAAAAACCAAAGCACTAAGCCAGTAGAACTACAGAGATCCATAGAGGAGAATAGCTACAGGTTCCCCAGAGTCCACCCCTTTCTCATTAACTGGCACTTAAGGTCTCAATAACTCACTCTAGACCCTTGTAAGAGAAAGAATAACAAACATTTCTTTACTTGCAGTTGCTTAAAATTACAGAATTGTGAGTGCTGCTTTCTTTACTGTACGTATATTGGTAACCAAATGTGTTGTAAGAAGATAAAAAGTAATACAGCACGTTGCAGACAAAACCTAGAAAATGTATGTCTCTGGACCACTGCTTGTAGAATTCCACAGCCACATTGACACTTTTCCAAGCTCTGTTTAATGTCAACACATTTATTATTGTGTGAGCTTCCATGCACCTTAGATTTTGGCTGGAGGGGCCAATGTAAGTTATGGTATAAAATATCCAGAGGGCACCAGCCTGTCAAAGCTGATTTGAAAACAACAATGTGCTCTTAAGAGGAAGATCCAAAGAAATAACAGGGTGCATTTCTTATTAGCCTAACTGAATTATTTCCATAACTTTAATCAGTTCAATAATGTCACTTGTATTTGGAGGCAAGAACATATTGTTTAAGCTTTGTTTGTAAGATGCTTTAATTAAAGCAATAGCCCCACCATGGTTTATTAATCCATTTCTAGATGTTAAGCTGCAAGTGACAGAGCAGTGAAACAAATTGCAGGGGTCAGGTAGGGACTGCTGGCACACGGCTTAGGAAAAGAGCTCAGTCTTTGTCGCTGCTGTCTCTAAACCTGTGGAAACAATTCTTGCAGTCTAATTCCCTTTAAGCAACCCTTCCTAAAAGGAGCAACATGCCAATAGAGGCACTGAGTGCCATTGGCAGGAGGTGGCTTTAGGGGAATGGGCCTTCCTAGCCTCTGAATAGTGATCATTTGTGACTCAGAAGGAAGTGCCTCACCTTTAGCTTTATATATAAATATATTTAGCTCTCCGAGTAGACTGCAAAGGAACAGCCTGGCAAGATTGTTTATACACACTCCCATGCCTTGGCTCCCTCTGACAACAGAACGTCTGGGATCTAGTCAGGCTATGAATGTTCAAGAGAGAAGGTGGGGGGGTCATTTTGAGTTGACCTCCAAATGGGACCCCAGCTAGTGACGCTGCTGCTGTTTCAGGCAGGTGAGTACAAATTAGAAACTAAAGGACATAGCCTCTGCCCTCATAAAAGTACCCTATATTTTTCTGCTTTCATGTTTGCTCATGGAATGCAAAGAATTCATTACTCAGCGTTTGAAAATTCCGTTCAATGAAAGCAAAGAGCATGGGTAGGTGAGTAAGCTCACTTTCTCGTGTGGTCATAACAGAACAAATCCTAGGCTTCTGGCTACTGACTTTCATGAGAGCTATGCATTGTTTGGACATGTGAATAAATCAGACAAAGCGTGTTCCATTCTGCTTATAAAATAGATAAGGGCAATATGTATCCTAAAACATTAGAAGTGATATAAAGCGTCATCAGATGAAAGCTATGTATTTTAGTTAAATGGGGTTTGTACCATATCATTTCAATAAAGTTCCAGGTGCTTTTAGACTCTAAGACTGTTTCTGTGGCATTGGGTCAATAGAATGGTTTGGCCTAAGGGACTCCGGCATATTGACGTTGTTATACTTGTATGACTGTCTTTTCTTTCTTTTAGTAAATGTAACTTGCCTCTTCCTTGTCCTCTAAATAGTTATGTTTGAGTTGATATTTTAAGTTATCCTCATTTGGGAGGTAGGGTGAAGAAGGAGGAAGACAGCAGAAGGAATAAAAAAGGGTTCATTTATAAACCCATAGCAGTTTGGAAAGACACTATAAGCCTTTGAATACATCTCCTTTCAACTTTAGACGTAGCACCGGGCCAAATTATATCATATGTGCCTCTTACTGCAAGACATTTGACTTATTTGAAGACTCCTGTACCTCAACTTCTGCCAGAGTAAATGTCGGAAACGCCAGGAAAACTGAAGTCATAAGTTCCCATGTTACCCACTCCAATTGCTACCAGGCAGGTTTTTGTGAAGTAACAGTTTAGCAGTCTCCCTAGTTAGTAGAAAACACACAGCCTTCTGTGCGTTTTAAAATTTAGTCAGGTTATCTCACCAATCGTGCTTTGGCTTCAGAAGAAATCATTCATTAGATAGTTATTTGGAAAAAGATCTTTCTTTGTTCCACACCTGACAGTGTAGGAAGACTGCTCAGCTTGAAGTTTAACCAAATTATGGTTGCATTGAGTAGGAAACTAAGACTTTTCCATTCTGATTTCTTTGAAGATTGTTGCAGTTCTTAATTTAAAATCTAATGGTCATATTTAGGTCATGTACACTGTTAATGGAGTACCCAGTGTGGTGCAGTGGACAGAGTAGTGGACTAAGACTCAGGAAAACTAGATTGATTCTCTTATACTGTATAGCATGGAAACTCAGTGGAGGAATGTACTGGTAAAACCACTTTTTAAATATACCATTTACTTTGGAAACCCTATTAGGATCACTATAAGTAAGCTTTGACTTGATGGCCCATAACAACAGTGTTTATACTTTGCCACCTTGCCCATTGTCCAGGAAGTTTTCTAGGTTTTGATTTGCATTTCTTCTTTCTCTTCCTTTGCCCAGCATCCTTTCCCAGTTACTATGATGTAAGCAAAGTAACTTCACTAACTATAATTCAGCCAGATTTAATTTGCACTAAGGTAATTAGTGGGCAGCCTGTCTGTAAACCTGATACGACTACCATATATGGTACAGCTATTACTACTGCTGTTTTTCTTTTTTTTAACAAGTATGTGTTGATGTTTAATCATTTCTCTTCAATCCTCATTTATTTATTTATTTATTTGTTTGTTTGTTTGTTTATATCCCGCCTATCTGGTCTTGCGACCACTTTAGGCAGCTTGTGTTGCAGAAGAAAAGTGTTATATAGTATTATCAGGAATGCATACTTGGTATTCAAGGAGTGTCCCCCAAACAATGGATCGTCTGTGTTAAAACAATGGTCTTCAGTTTGCAGCTTTGCTTTTTGTTTTGAAAGCTATGCTCCTATTGAACTTAAGAGTGATCATTGCTTTCTTCATATTGCTAGCACCCAGAGGCTTCTGTTTCTCAAGCTTGTTTCTTAAGTTTCAAAATCAGCAAAATGTTTTAAGGGTTTGCCTCATGTGTATAGAAATTTACAACCAATATAATCTCCCTAGAGGTAGCTGCGAATAAAAATACTGTTTGTATTTCTTTCTTATTTGTCAAGAATCAAATGTTTACAAGCATCTAACTTGGAAGGAACCTATGCTATTGATAATGATGATAGACATTGTTTTCATTGTAATAATTTATGTTTAGGCACTTACCTGATCCAAAATTCTATATTTGCATTAGTGGGGTGACCCAAGAAATGTTAGTGAAGAGACCTAAGCTCAGTGTGGAATGTAGGTCTCCTATGGAATAAATAAGTATGTGGTTTCACAGCACAGAAATGATGTAACTCCATGCTCGCTAGCAATCATTGGACGGTATGTGGTTTCACAGGACAGAAATGAGTAACTCCATGCTCGCTAGCAATCATTGGACTGGATCAACTGATTTAGTTTCTTTGAACTTTGGACAGATTCTAAGTAGAGAAGAATTATGTTGAGACCCCCAAGTGTGCAGGGCTTTCCCCTCTGTTTGGATTATGTTCTCCAGTATACAGTAAACACCAGCCTAACATGAGTCTGTGTGGTTACGCAACTGTATCACTTTTGTTGGCCATATCTCCTCCTTTAGGGACAAGAGCTTTCCACTTGAAGGGCTACCAGAGAAGAAAACTCCTTTTGAAGGTGTCCTCAATTTGAAGAGCTGTCAAGGCCAAATTTAAGATAAAGAACAATAAGGACAGAGATCAAGAGCCTTGAAGTTGCCCACCCACAGTGACACCTGGATAGCAGACTCAGCAAGCACAAAAGTTACTCGGGCCAAGATTGTGTAATGGCCAGTTGTGTAATGGACCAAAGTGCAAGTGATTAAACAGTCTCATTCATCACACAAGGAGGAAGCCCAATATATGCAAACAGGGGATCTCTGCTGCCACAATAGCATATTACAAGGCTACCAGAGCTAACTTTTCAGGTGCTGAATAGGATCCCAGCTCTGATCATAGTCTTCCTCATTTAAGTGAGATGCACTGGAAATCTGCTTAAATTATGAAAATCATTTAGGATTTTGCATCTGTATATATATTAACTCATGCCATTTAATGCAAATCACTACCCCCTTTTTCCTTCTCTTTGGAGATGTGTAAGTGACTATCCTATGTCAGAGGAGGAAAGGGGAAGAAGAAGGAAAATTCATGAACCTGAAGCTCACTGAGATTTGTTTAGGCTGAATTTTGATTTAGCATGAAATCAATGTGGTTTTAATATAAACTGCTTCTGGATAGAAAAGCCGGTCAAAAGATACCACAAGAATTTTGTTGTAATAGATTTATTTAAATGCATTATATCGTATCTTTACCTTTTCAGTTTGGAATGGTGTTCTTGGAAGGAACCATTCTCTACACAAAAGAGGACTCCTTGAATTATCTGGAGCCATAAAATGTGGCACAAGACGATTCCCTTTGATGTATCTAGGTTATGGATGCTACTGTGGCCCAGGAGGAAGAGGATGGCCTAAAGATGAAACAGACTGGTAAGATCATCAATCATATCTCTGGCTGTCATATTTCTATCCAGTTCTTTATCTGGATTCCTGTTCAATTAGAAGCATTTAAAATGACATCAAGCTTCATTCAAACGAGCATTGAAAACTTGGCACTTCGGCCAGGCTTTCCCTGACCATTAAGATCTCTGACCCCCTTTTACTATCCTTTTTGCCATCCTTTTCATCACCCTTTTACCACCTTCATTGCCATCAGTTTTATCTTGTTGCTATGTACTATTTTTTAATTGTGTTTTAATATTGCTGCTTATATGGATGTTAGATGGTGCGGGGTATACATCCTATTATTATTATTATT